AACATCTTGCCTAAAGTACCCTATGTGGTAACCTAGGCATTTCCTAGAAAATAAGGAAAATACTACTAAGAAATTTCCTTAACAATTTTGGATTATATTATTTGTTGGATAGTTATGAAAAGAATTTGTCACAATGAACCTTGAAGGTTCATATGCTATATCCAACAAATAATATATTCCATAAATTGGGTGCATTATTGAAACAACTAAGGTAGGAAAAGTCCTACACAAAGGAAGGCTATCTACCTTGGGCACCACCAAGGAAGTAGCATGAGAAGTGGAACTAAGTGAAGTCCACTTTTCCTTCACCAAATCTTGAAGTTGAGACTCTTTTTCTTTAAAAATAATGGATTTATGAATCTCCTCCTAAAGACTAGTGGCAAAATGAGGGCAAGAGTTAAGATCTTTATGAATAAAGAGATTTTTTTTATAGGATTTTTAGTACTAAAACAATTCTCTTTAGTCACAAGTCCTTTAGAGGATATTTCTTCCTCTTTACTCTTCCCTGCACAAAGTTCTTTCTTTTTTTTATATTTCTTCTTTTCTTTTGATTTTCATTTGCCTTCTTCTTTTGTGTTTTCTCATGTCTTCTTTCAATTTTTCTTCTTCTTGTTTAAGAATTCTCAACTTCTCTTCTAGGATAGCAAGTTTGGCCTCTCTTTCAATTTTCTCCTTCTCTTTTTGAAAGGCTTCTTGCTTCTTCCATAGTTTAAGTGATTTTAGCTCTATTGTTAAGTAAGAAATGCTTTTAGGAGAGCTATCACTTCCACTATAGTTGGATTGTTGAGACATTTTAAACAACAAGATTTTTCTCTTCACACAAAAATAGATTTTAAGAAAATAATATTTTTGGAAGTTCTAGACTTGGCACTTGGAGGTCTAAGAGTACAAATTGAACTTTGGAGGGAGGTGAGCTACTATCGAGCCACTTAATAACCAAACCTCTTCAAGTAAAAATCTCTAAACCCCTTTGTACTTTACCTTGCACAAAATGTTTTCACAAAGTTCTTTTCAAAAGACAAATAACAAGCAAGTGCCTAATGTGTACAATTAAGCAATGCAATCAAGACTTGAAAACATAAATTGCTTGAAAACATAAATTGCTTAAAACATAAATGGCATGAAAACATAAAGACAAGAAAACATAAACTAGACATTTTAAGCAAGTAAACCTATGTGAGAGCTTGGAAAATACCAAGGACTTCCAAGGACCACTCTAACTAGTACTAAGCGTATTACCCTATTTTGAAAACACTAAGGAGAGATGGAAATGCACCAAAGGCACTCCTAGACATTCCTAAAAAGGCCTTGTACAAGAAATGAAAGAAATGAAAATTTACAAGAAATGAAATGCAAATTTACACCAAATGAAATGCACATGTACACCAGATGAAGTGTAAATTCACACCAAATGAAATGTAAATTCACACTAAATGAATGTAGTGGCTGCACCAAATTTTAGGAAACAAAATTTAACCACTAAATTTGAGAGCTTGGAAAATACCAAGGACTTCCAAGGACCACTCTAACTAGTACTAAGCGTATTACCCTATTTTGAAAACACTAAGGAGAGATGGAAATGCACCAAAGGCACTCCAAGACATTCCTAAAAAGGCCTTGTACAAGAAATGAAAGAAATGAAAATTTACAAGAAATGAAATGCAAATTTACACCAAATGAAATGCACATGTACACCAGATGAAGTGTAAATTCACACCAAATGAAATGTAAATTCACACTAAATGAATGTAGTGGCTGCACCAAATTTTAGGAAACAAAATTTAACCACTAAATTAGTGAAAAACTTAGAGACGGATTTAACAAGGAAAATTTTTGAAACAAAAATTTTCGTCTCTAAACTAGTCACTAGTTTTCACAAATTTTCTCAAAAATTGTTGTTGTGTCTTTCTCCAAGCTTCTCCCAAGTGCAGCAACCTCTCCAAGTGTATCTCTCCTCTCTTAGGAATAACCTTGATGTTGGTTATTCCTAGGTGTTTGTCACCCACCAAGAGCTTTCCACCAAAGAGAATAACAATCTCCTAGGCTTCCACAAACACTTCAAGATGCTACCCTTGTACTTGGTTTTCCACACCTTCAAAGAGGCACTCAAAAAACCTTAAGTTGCTGGAGTTATATAGGAAAAACTGAAAAAGCACAATTAGGAAAAGATACACCAAGTGGTAGAATTAAAGAGACAAGACTAGAAAGAGTTCCACAAAAGACAAGCAAAAATTAAGGCACCAAAGAAGGCCAGCACACAAATGGAAAAACTATCAATGGCACTAGAGTGGATTACAAAACAAAATCTATGATTAAAAAACAAAATAAGGCTCAAATGTAAACAATGAGTGGCTGGACATTTCTTCATGGAGATATTCAACCACATTGATCAAGACTTTCTCCAAAGGAGTGGAAAAAGAGACATGCTTCCTAGTGTCTTCAATAAGGCCATCTATTACATCAACCCGGAAGCAACTACTCTTGTCCTTGGGGTAGTGTATAGCATCAAACACATCAAATTTGACTTCTTCATCATTCACTGTCACCTTAAGCTTCCCATCATCCACATCAATTAGAACTCTTGCAGTCTTCATGAATGGTCGGCCAAGAATGAGAGGTACATCAATGCCTTCTTCTATATCCATCACCACAAAATTAGAGGGAAACAAGAAACGGTCCACCTTCACCAGAACATCCTTCACTATGCCATGAGCATACTTCACAGATCGATCGGCCAACTGCAAAATCATGCGAGTGGGCTTCACCTCCAAATCACCAATCCTCTGAAGCATAGATAAGGGCATGAGATTGATGCTAGCCCCCAAATCAAGCAAAGCCTTCCCAATAGCTAAACTCCTAATAGTGACTGGAAGAGTGAAACTACCAGGGTCCTTGGATTTTGTTGGCAACATCTTCTGAATGATAGCACTACACCCCGCCTCCAATGTGATGGTCTCCTCTTCAAAATATTTTCTCTTCTTGGTGAGGAGCTCCTTCATGAACTTGGCATAAGTAGGCATTTGCTCTAATGCCTCGGAGAACAGAATGTTAATCTGCAAGGTCTTGAAAATCTCTAAGAACCGAGCATATTGCCTCTCCTTATCTCTTCTTGAAGGTGCATGAGGATATGGTAGGCTCTTGGTGGGTGGCACCTTTACAATACTCCTCTCCTCCATGGATGCTTTCTTTTTCCCTCTACTAACTCCTTCTTTTTCTCTTTCAATTTCTTTCTCTTTCTCATTCTTTTTGTCATTTTCCTTTTTCATTTTATTCTTATCAACCAACTCTCTTCCTTCACTCCTTCTCCATACTCCTGGGCCCTCTAGGATGATCTCCTCATCAACACTAGCATCATCTTCTACTCCCATATCATTTTTTTCCTCACTCTCATTCTTCTTCTCACTATTCTTCACTAAAAACTCCCGACCACTCCTTGTAGATACTACATTCAAGTGTCCCTTCGAGTTTTGCTCGGTGTTGGCTGAGAAAGAACCTTTTTGCTGCTCTGCTAGCTGCTTTGCTATTTGCCCCACCTGTATCTCCATATTTTTAATTGAAGCATCAGTGATCTTTTGGTTGGACATAGACAATTGCATGAATTGTTGCAACGTGTCTTCCAAATTGGTGGTCCTCTCATATAAAGGTGGGTGTTGGTGTTGATGTGGAGGCCTGCTACTTGATGAAGCATTCATATCTGGTTTGTTTCCACCATAATTATTTCTCCACCCCTGATTTGAATTCTGAGGATAGGGGTGTTGAGAGAAATTTTGCCGCCTTGATTTCCCATATAATTCACTTCTTCGCCTTGGGAACTAGATGATCCGACACAATAACCATTAGGGTGGTCACCTCCACAAAAATCACATGACAAAACTTGTTGCATAGGAGGAGCATTAGATTGCATAGCTTGAAGTTGTTGAGGTAGCTTGGCCATTTGTTGATTCAAGGCTTCAATTTGTTGGGAAAGTATCTTGTTTTGAGCTAACACTGCATCTTGAGTCTAAGCTCCAAAACTCCCCTCTTGTGTGAAGAGCTTCTGCCATGCTGGCTCCTAAAGTCTGTGGAGGCCATGGACTCAATGATGGTAATAGCCTCTTCAGCGGTTCTGAACATAACTGACCCTCCAAAAGAAGCATCCAATATCATCTTGGTTTGAGGTTGTAACCCATTACAGAAAGTTTGCACTTGAAGCTCCACCTTAAAACCATGGTTAGGGCACCTCCTCAACAGTGATTTGTACCTCTCCCATGCTTCACATAATGGCTCATCCGCACCTTGAGCAAAAGTAGCAATAGCAGTTCTGGCCTCAGTGTTCTTGGACGGGGGAAAGAACCTGGCTAAGAATTTAGTCTCCACATCCCTCCAAGTGGTCAGGCTTTGGTTTGGCTGAGAGTGAAGCCAAGCCTTAGCCTTCCGATTCAGAGAAAATGGAAACAACCTCATGAACAGTGCCTCTTCATCAGCCCCTGAAACTCCAACTAAACCACACAACTCATAGAAAGTGTAGAGATGAGTATGTGGGTCTTCATGATCCAATCAGAAAATTGATGAGAGCTGATAAGCTATAGGAGTGCAGGCTTCATTTCTGCTAGTCTATCATTCATTGTAGGCCTCACAATGCTAGAGAATTCCCTCGGGCTAGTGCAGGTGAAAGCATCACCTATAGTGCGCCTCCGGTTTTGATTTTCATTGTGAGCACCACCTTCACCTTCCATAGTGAACTCAGGAATATCAGAGACAAAAACTTCAGGAATCTGAATGGTTGGTTGGCCAACTGGATTTGCTCTAGTCCTCCTTCTCCTCCTGTTGCTATTATTCCTCCTTGCCGTGCGTTCAATATCAGGATCGTTCAGCAGTGGCTTAGAAGAAGTAGTACCTCTGGTTCGAATAATACCTTGCATACAAGAAAAGACAAAAGACTAGAGTGCACAAGTCAGCTCAAAGAATTCATTTGCTAAAATGGAAAGTAACAATAAAAGTAAAGGAACAAGTCACAAATAGCTATAAATACTAAATTGCCTTGCTAATCCCCGGCAACGGCGCCAAAAACTTGTTGAGATTTCTGTTAAAACTATTTTTGTTATCACTTTAAATCACTTTTGTTCTATCAACGGTCTCAAACACGGCAAGTATATCGGCCGTTCAAGTAGTAAAATTATCGTATCCACAGGGATTAGTAGGTAAAATAAGCATTTATTGACTATTCGTGACTAAAGAATAATTCCAATTTGTAGTTTGTCATGTGAAGATTAATTGAAGAGTATAACTACTGGAATGTTAACTATAAAAATATTTGGTTTTGAGTGGAAAATGGTAGAAATGGTATCATGATTTTTGTGAGATTATAGGATCAGATTTCACCAAACGTTAAACTAATGAATCCTTAATCTCTTGTTACATCCATTGCTTAGTCAACCCATAAGTTTACTCAAACCTAATCCCTTAGAGCAAGAGCCTAGGTGCGGATAATGAATATCAATCCCTTGAGTATTCAATACCTACACCCGCATTACGGGTTAGAGTTTAAGACTACTAATGGGCCAAACTCCATTCCTAGATACATTTCCCACTAGACATTTGTTTCAGAGCAAGTTTCAAAGGTTATTTTCCAATACCCAATGGAACCTATATCATGCAAGGAGAATCAATCCAAAGCAAGCATTAAGAATAGAAACATACACAACAATGAATGGAACAACATATATATATCATTAAAACGTAAGGATTACAATAGAATTCGTTGGTTACATCTAACCCCACAAAATAATGGGTAGAACCACTCAAAACAATGAGGGTAAAGCAAAAATAGAGATGGAAGTGAGAATGAAGAACCGAAGGAAAGACCCACACACGAACGGCCTCAAGCTCCGGGAATCCTTTCCTCAGCTCCTAAAACACGTCCAATGTGTGAATGAGGAGCAAAGCCTCGAAAATTTCTTCAAATACGAGCTTGAGGAGTCAGATTAGGGTTACGCGCCCGACGCATAAGTCTTTGCGCCCGGCGCAGGGCCTTCCAGAGAAGTTGAGCACTATCTGCCTCAGGACATGCCCGACGTAATTTCCTTTTACGCCCGGTGCAATGTCATCCAGAGAGTTTGAGTTACTCTCTGCCTCGATCACGCCCGGCGTGGGTCATCTTGCGACGGGCGCATATATGACTTGCAGAGATAAGGCACTCTGTTCTGCTCAAGCCCGGCGCGGGTCATCTTGCGCCCGACGCAGTCACTCTTCTATGCTCCTTAGCTCCTTAGGTTTCCAATCCTATGGATCTTCAATCCTCAATTCTCTAGCTCAATACCTGCACAAAAAATGAGGTGTATTAGGGTATTATTAGCTAAATTATGGATTAGCTATATCTGCACACAAAATGGATCAAAAAGAGAACAATTATATTGCAGTGGTTCAAAGAATGAGTAGAATTGTTCAATAAGTTTTGTCCAAAAAGAAGTATAATTGAGATTTAACACCTAGCCTATTTTCAAGGTTGGGTTGGCCTATGGGCCACAGCCCCATTTTGACGGCTTTAATATATACACCTCCTTTTCTTATAAATATATCTCTTTTTTAAAAAATAATTAAAATTTTAAAATATCTTTATTTTTTTATTTTTAATTTTACATCTACAACATTCAATTTATCATTTTTTTTCTTCTTTTTCGCACATCTTATTCCTTCCTTTTTCAGTTTTCACATACACCTCTTTACATTTCTCCTACTCTCCATTTATTTCAGTAGATAATTCTAATTATTTTGATTTTACATTAGTCTCTTCTCCCTCTTCTTTTAGTTTTCACACTATTATCTTCTCTCTCTCTCCTTTTTAAGTTTTCACATGCACCTGGGAGGACTAGTTTTCAACAATATTATAAGTGTGTGTGGTGTCAAGTCAAATGTGCATTTTTTGTTCTAGCACTTACTGGACTTCCTCCTATTTACACGTCTAGAAAAGACAACATCAAATATTTTTAGTATTTCATAAATAATTTCAATGTTCCACAAAATACTTTTCAGAATAGTAGAATTAATGTTTCAAAAAGTATTTTTTGGAAGTGTATTGTTTTACATAATTTCAAAAAAATACTTTCTACAATTGTAAATTTACTATTTCGGAAAGTATTTTCCAAAATTATATAAAACAACACACTTCCAAAAAAATACTTTCTAGAACATTAATTTTACTATTTTAGATATTACTTTACGGAGGTGTGTTATTTTTCATAATTATGAACAGTTCTTTTCAAAATAATAAATTTAGTGTTTCGAAAAGTACTTTTCAAAAGTGTGTTATTTTACATACTTTCAGAAAGTAATTTCTAAAATACTAAGTTTACTGTTAAGATTTGTGTTTCGAATGTCTTTTCCATAACATTAAATTTAATGTTAAGATTTTTGAAGGTGTAAAAGAGGAAGTGTTGAAAGAAAAAAATGTACATTTAGGTCGAAAAAAACCATAAAGGAAGTCGAATGTGCCTATAACGTTGTCATGTATCAGTTCCACGATGTGAGTGCATGTAAAAAATAAAAGATGTGACGGAAGAAGAGAGCAATATGAAAATCGAGAAAACTAAAATTAACTATTGAAATAAATGAGAAATAGATGAAAGATAAGGAGATACATGTGAAAACTAAAAAAGAAGAAAAATGAAGTGTGTAAAAAAATAGTAAATTAAAAGTTGAAAGTGTAAAATTAATTTTTTTAAAAAATAAAAAATATTTTAAAAAAATAAAATATAAAGGATGTATATTTATTAAAAAAAAATGAAGTATATATATCATGATCGTGTCACAAAATTCACTGGGCTTTATGGGTGTTAGTTTAAAATAATAAATAAATAAGTACGCGTAAATTGCGCAATGGTAACCATCTATGATTTTCCATTTTAGCACTCCGTTGTCCATGAGAACGCGTAGCGCATTCATTTCATGCCGTGCTATAGAAACATGAATTTTGATTAGTCAAAATTAAAATTCAATTATTGGAGTAAATATATTTTGTTTAGTGAACCAAAAACATAAAACACAAAGTTTTCATCCCAATCCCAAATTGGAAGGCACACTCTTCTTTACGCAATTTGAGTGACTCTCAGCCGTTCGATGGACTACGATTTCCGAAGCCGGTCGGGCCCACAAGCTCCGATGTACCGTCCTCCACCGTCGCCGATGTAACGCCCGG